TATCTTTTTATTTTAAACCATTTTAGTTAATCATTTTGTGATGTGTCTTCCACCACCGATGGTGTTTTGTTTAGTATGTCTAATTTATTTATGTGGTAGTCAAACTAGTCTATTTTTATTCTCAATTCCATTTTTTTGTTCTCAGAAATATAATCTCTTTGTTCTTTTTTTTTTCTTCTTGTTTTCTCATTCATAACACAGCGCAACGAAAGTGGACAAATGGCATTAAATAACAATTTCTCATATTACAACAAACAAAAAAAACATAAAGAAAAGAAAAAGAAAACAATACAATGAATCAATAAAGTCGATCAAAGAAGTCAATTTTCTCCAACGAAATCTCGATATATTTTTTTGTCTCACTATCTTTTGATTATCTATCATATTGAAATGCATGAAATATATTTGTTGTTGTTGTTTTTTTTTTTCTTTCTCTTTAATTGTTTTTGTCTGTGCAAAAATACAAATATCATTTTCTTTGTGCTTGTGTTCATATATATCGATAACCTCACTCTCTTATCATTCTTTCATTGATATGTTCAGGGGAAAAAAGCAAAAAAAGAAAATAAATCATTTATTCTCAAACTTCATATATATATATCAACATATACTTTTATTTATTTATCCAGCAATAATTACACCAATAGCAAGAACAATAAGAGAATTATTGTTGTTATTTTAAGAGAAGATATAAACAAATACACTAATTTGATAAGACAACAAAAAACCAAATACACAAACAGAATAGAAGAAAACAAAATTCTATGTTCAGATAAACCTGAAATACTGAACAACAAACGAACAGAAATGAAAAGATAGTATGTATTTATAATATAGAAATGTTATCATTCGTTCTTACTTATTATTAGAAGAAGAAATAGAATATTAAAAACGAAAAAAAAAAACAAAAATCCTCTTCTAATTTTCATAATCAAATTGCCACCATGTTGTATGAATAGCTTCAGATGGATAAGTAATTAAAGTTTGACCATAAATTACCTAAAACACAAAATAATAAAAAACTAATCAAATGATAATTTTTCTTACCATTGGTTGATAAATAGGTGACTGTCTTGGACTTATTCGAACACCACGCATATCAGGTATTGCTATTGTATGATTTTCATTTTGATTTAATAATACAATACCAGATGGATCAATAATAACACCAGCATGATCAGAAAATACTCGCATTGTTGTTTTAGTTTCAGCTTCAAATAAACTAAATATATAGGAAAAAATTTTGATTCATTATTTTTTTTTAAGAAATTTTTACGTTGCTATAAAATTTTTTCCAAGACCAGCACGATCAAGTTTATAAAAATATTTATTAATATTTGATAATATATCAACTCGTGTTGCTTGAATTAATCGATCTTGTTCAATTTTTTGACCATTTAAAATATCTATTGGATTTGATGAACTTAAATTTAAATAATGCTACCAAAAAAAAAAACAACAAAAGAATTCAATTATAATTTTTTAATCAACACTAATTTTTATTTTATTTTTTTCAATCTTACCGTACTTAAATTTCCATAACTACGTAAATTAAAATAAATATTATTTGTTAAATCAACAATAATTTGTTTATTAAATGGTGTTCCAACGATTGTTTTCATTAGAAATTCATTTGAATTTCTCAATGAAAATTCATAAATAATTTGTATAGTTTCATAAATAAAACGAACTCGATGTTGATTATATTTATCAACATACATTGACCAATCTTCTTTATAAAGATTTAAAAATGGATAATTTGAAGGTAATTGATTTGTCATAGTCATTGTATTAGTTTGATTTTCAAAACCAAAACGTACAGAACCATAATAATTTTCATTTCCACCTTTAATAACTATAGAACGATATTGTTTTGAATTATTTTTATCATTATATGGAATTAATATATCATTTATTGATGCACCACGACGTGATAATACAACTATAATACCATCATGATTTGGATGTGTTAAATTAAAATAATATTCATTGATTAATCTTTCCGATGAACTTGAATCATCATCCATAGCATATGGATAAATATTTTTTGATGAAATACGTTCACCATGTTTGCCATTGAACTATAAAAATCGAAAAGTTAAATAATTTACATTTTATTCAGCAATATAATATAAAAGAAATTAATTTTTACAATTATAGTCATATAATGAAAGATGAATATGAAATTCTATTAGAGAGACAATCAAATTATAGCAACCATTTTTTTCTTGATGCAATCAAAGATGAAAAAAAAACAAAATTAGGATTTTACTTCATGATCAGTAGTGGCACAGAACCAAAAAAAAAGTTCCGAGTTCAGCCCTTTGATCATGCCTACTAAGGCCTTTTTTTAATGATTAGTAAGTAGTTTAAAGCCTTCTGAAGGCGGAGGTTTGATTATCAAGCATTTTTATTACAAAGAACTCAATCGTTCGTGAGTAGATTAAAGCCTTCTGGCAATCGAAGCTATGTCTTTTCTATCTCCCTTCTGGTTATGTCCAGTATTAGTTCATTAGATATTTCTTTTTCACCACAAAGTATAATAAGGCGTAAATTAATCTCATTTAAAATAGAACTAATTTCCTTATAATTTATTAATTTCTGAAAAACGAATATCAATAGAATATTTCAAAAAAAAATGAAATTTTAACGAACTGCACAATTTTTGTATTCTGAAGAATACTTCATAATTGTATTCTCTTAAGTGTTCTTGACACTTTCATTAGAAATTGTTGATATCAACGAATAAACTGCTCAATTTAAATAGCTAATGTAGAAATTTTCTACGTTCTCAATCATAAAATTTTTTTCAATCAACATAAAAAAAAAAAGCAATTTTCTATCCTCTATAAAACAATTTGAAATACATCTCGATCTTAAATTTATTCATTCAATGATTAATTAATGGGATATTCAACCTTGAATAGATATATTTCATTGATAAAGATGTCTGTCTTTCAATTGTCAGATACTTTATATCTGCCATAATTCTTTCTATTCAATCAACCGATATAGACAAGATAATGAACGGCTATTGTTACTTTCCTACACATTCTCTAATTACACAGTATGTTTGTCCTTGAAAGTAGCTTTTGTATAGACTATATACACAAAAAATGATTCGTTCAATCGTCAATCCTTTCAATACATACAAACACATACTCAATATATATCTATATATATATATATATATATATATATATACATCTTTTCTCTTCAAGCTTTACACTCCAATCATCAAACAAACAATAGATATTTTGAGTGGACGACTTACTTCTTGACGATTGTAAAGAATATATGCAATACTAAGAAGAAATAATGTGAAACATATAATAGCCAATACAAGAACTAATTTATTTAACATTGAACAATGTTTTTTTGATTTATATGGATGTTGATCATTATCATCTATATCAATTTTATGATGTTCACTAGATGTAAAACCATTTTTTTGTTGATGACCATTTTTTTTAACTGATTCTAATGCAATATCATGTGCTTCATATTTAACATCTATATGAGTTTGAACATTTCCATCAATATTTGTTTGTTCTATTGATTCAATTGGAGTTGATATAGGTTCTAATGGAGTTGAAACAATTGCTTCAATTGTTGATGTTGTTTCTGGTTCAGAAGCTAATGGTGGAATTGGTTGAGGATTGAGTGGATTGCCTGTATTTATAATAATTTGAGATGGAGATGTTGAAACTATATTATCCATTTTTATCGATAACAATGTATAAAAACAATAGAAATATGTGAATTGATCTAAAACGAATGACGATGTGTATGTCTCTACTTGTCTTTCTACCGTCTGTTTGCTATGTTCGTCCGTATGAACAATGAAATGCAACATATATATATAGAGAGAGAGAGAGACAGAGAAAGAGAAGAAAAAACAAGAGAGAACGAATCTCTTTTGCTTGTTCTGGAAGGAGAGAAGGATAAACGGTCAGTCCTCAATGGCCTTCTTCCTTTTCTTTCTTTTTTTTTTTTTTTGATACTTCGTTTATAATAGCGTCAAGTTCGATATAAATGAATGGCATACTGCTTGTACGATAACTTTAATTTATTCTTTTCTATATTCTAATCAATGAAATAGAAGACATTGAGATGACTTGAAAGAAGACAGACCGATAACGGTCAATATATATAGTTGACTTTTAGCTTTCTTGACATGTATCGCGTGTCTAGTGAATTATAGACAAGTCCATCAAATTAGAACTATCAATAATTGTATTTAAGTATATAATTTCAAATAAAAATGTCTGTTCATTAAATTAACTTTAAAAAAAAATATCCATTTTGAATATACATACATGTTAAGTATTAATTCAAATACACTTTTCTTTTTTCTAGTGATGATTCTTATCTTTGTCTATAAATGAAGAGAAGAATATTTCTTTTTTTTTGATTGATAAATATATGTACTGCCGACTTATTTTTGAAAAACAGCACAATTACTATCTTTAATATGAGAAATTAATGTTGGTATGTATGTATTGAAATTACATACTGTGAAAATGCTATGCATGTATATGAATGATGTTTTTCAAGAGTATTACAAAAAAAAGAAAAATTAAGACGGTGTGATGTTTTTTTTTCTTAGGCAGTTATATATCCTGTTGGAATGTCAGTTATTCGAATGAAATAAGTCTCTTGAGATAGTATTTCAAAAAAACAAAAAAAATTATCTGTAACTTTTTTTTTGTTTTGTTAGTAATAACTGCAAATAGATTTTGATTACACATATATATAAAGAAATTTCTTTTGCTTTCTATTAATTATAATCGATCATTACGTATTAATGTACGTGAGGCATGAATATAATATGAACTTAATGTAACTAGCTTCTCAAATAACATTCACCTTACATAAAAATACTTAGGGAATGTGTAGTATAAAGAGAAAAAATACACACACAAATGTATATTTATAAAGTAATCAAACATCATTGTCATTAATATCAATACTGAAAAGATCAAGAGTATTTTGTATTATCAATCTTGATTATTGAAATTTTCTTCAGTTAATTGTTCAATAATTTGTAAACGTTGATTAAGTTTAGTCATATTAGATTTATATTCACTCATAATACGTGCCATTCGTGTTTCTAGATAATCAATATTTTTTTGTAATTCTATTACTTTTTCTGGTATAATTGCTTGATCTTGTTGAACTATTTGTGCTACATCTTCATCTAATAAATTATCTTTATGTAAATGTGCTTTTCCACGTTCAATTAATGTATTACGAGCTGATGGATATTCAGCTAATACTTCCCATAAATCTTGTTTTGTTAAACAAAATAAATCTGAATAACCAACACTTCGAATATTAGCTGTACGATGATTTCCAGTTTTACTTCCTAAAAAATTCAAAAGAAAAGAGAAAAGAAAAAATTTTTTTTTTTTTATAATTTTAATCAAACCTGGAATATTAAGAATAGATATTTCACCAAAAACACTACCTTCTTCAAGTGTAACAAATATTTTATTACCATCATCTGATACAACATTTAATCGTCCACGTTTTATAATATACATTTCTTTACCAATATCACCTAAAATGAAATTTAAATAAATTAAAAGTCTAAAGAAAATGAATAATTACCTTTCTTACAAACATAATCTCCTGGACTAAAAATTTGTAATTTAAGTCTTGTAACAAGTTCAACAAGTAGACCAGGTTGAGCTTCAGCAAATATTGGTACACGTTTTAATGCAGCCAAATGTATATGTACAGCGATTTCAAAACGTAATTTTTGTGGTAATGAATCTATTTTATTCAGCACAAAAACAAAAAAAGAAAAAATATCTTTTCTTTTCTTTTTCTTTTTCTTTTACCTAATACAAGTTCTTCATTCACAACTTGTTTTTGTAACCATAAATAATCAAACCAAGTAATAACACGTCGTTCAAGTTCATTTCCAACTTTTCGAAATGTCATATATTGTTTAACTTGATCAACTTTTTGACGAAAATCAGCACGTACAGCATTCATACTAGTAATTATTGAACCAACATTACCAACAACTATCAATATTTTATCTTCTATTTATCAAATTTTAATAAATAAGACTTACTTGTAGCAAAAACTATAACACCTGTAAGAAAATCAGCAGTAACGAAGAGAGTTTCAATCTAAATAATCAAATAGTAGCATGAATTTTTTTTAATTGATTAGTCTTAACTAAGGATCGTTCTTTGAACATTATTTTATGTACCAAAGACAAAAATGAATAACAAAAGGTCGATTCAATTCATACCAAGAAAAAAAAAACCATACAATTCTCTCATTGTCATAAGTAAATATTGAAGGAAGACGCACATATTAGAGAAAGGAGTAAGTTAACTTTTATTTTCAGTTGAATTCTATCTCAATTTTCTGATCTAAACTGCATTTGATAATCCATAATCTTGGTTCAATCAATACCGCCGGCTCTGAATTAGAAAGCGTCGATAGTTGGTTATCAGTAAAATATCCCTAAGTCAATTGTCATCTTAATCAGTAAATCAGGATATTGAGAAGATTAATAAATCATCAGATCTACATCTCTGCATCATTGTGCTATTAATTATGCAATCGAAGCAGCCAACAGTCACTACGCTAAAAATACAACTCTATCTATGTATTAGCTAAAAGAATCCAAAATATCGACAACGTACTCAGCAACTCTAAATACTACATAAAACTTGATAATCTTACTATGTATGTGGCAACAGAAGTAGTCATCAAAACAGTTGCACATATATCTGTTTCCTCTAAAATTATCAATCTTTGAATAAATAAATGAAAATTAGCTCTTTAATAAAAATACAAATGATGATTGCTTTATTAAACTTCTCACACCGTCAGATTACTAAGAAAAGAGATTGCTATTGAGGCGAATAAAAAGAGTTACGTTCAACTCGATTTGATTTTCGTCTCTGTTATGTATATACAATGATGAAATTTTTTACATGTAACTTCCTTACATATATAATGTACGAAAAAATTTGGTAATTTGCTTGACTTTTGTATTTACTTTTCACTGCATATATTTTGATTATTGTTATCAATATATTCAAAGACATATAGTATTCTTATTATATTTCTAAAATTAAGTCAGATAAGAATTTCAGAAAAGCAAAGATTCTTGTCTGTTCAATATCATCAGACTAATTTAATATTCGTCAATAAAATTAGACATATACTTATCCTTGGAACATGACGTAAAATATGACATTTTCTATTAAGATGATGTAAGTCTCTGTCAATTCTCTGTATTAGCTTTACTCACTTTGTTTCTTCTCTATACAAATCTATGATCAGAATTCATGGAATACAAAACGAAGATTTTGATATTGACCACAATTCATCTATAGTTTACATTTTTAGAGTCAATATCAATCACTATCAGAGATCCGTACTTTGTATTTGATGAGCTTCCATAGAATATTACAAGTTGACCATAACTATTATGAAGAGTTTCGGAAGTTTAAGTTCTCTATACAATAATCATGTTACTTTTAGTATCGATTGGCGGCACCCGGTGCGGATACGGATTCGACACATGTTACTCGTGCAGTGCGCTAGTGTAGTATATTTTCAGCATTGAGAACTATTGAGCTTCTAATAATTCTTCATAGTAATTGTGATCAGTTTTGAATGTTCTATTAGATTTCATCAAATACAAAAGACGAATCTCTGCAGTAGTTACAATGAACTCTAAAAACGTAAATTTTGGACAAATTTTGATCAATATTGAAACCTTTATTTGGTATTTCATGAATTGGAATCATAACTTTAGATAGAGTATAAAAAAACTGATCGAGAAAATCGCTAAGAGCTTATATTGTTTATAAAGAAAAAGGTTATTTTTGAAATCCTATTCAAGGCATAGGTGCATACGCACATAAAACGAGAGCAAAATTTAAACATTCCTGAGACTTTTTCTATTATTATCATAAAATTTCAAATTAATCTCATGAAAGACAAACAATTCAAATATCTGTTTTTTTTTCTGTGTTCTTTATAAGTACAAAATTTAACAAAAGTAAAATTCTTCTAATCGTCGTATTACTAAATCTTTACACTAAAAGAACAATAATAGAATGTAATGTTAAATATTCTATACTAAAAATTGATAATCTTACATTTGTTTTTGGTGGTGGTACTTCACCAATATTAGTTAACACAAGTGTTGACCAAAAAAAACAATATAAATATTGTGTTGTTAATGTTGTTGCTGTTGGTTTTGTCATATTATAAACCCAAGAATCACTTGAATAACCAATCCAACGGCTAATCATAAAATAAAAACAAGCATTCCAATGTATTAATATAATAATAGTTGTTAATAATGAAACAAGACGAAATATATTTGGATGATTTGTTTGTGTTTCAATTTTATTAAAAATTTCAAAATAACGATAAACACGAAATAAACGATTGAAACGTAATGATGGTAAAAGATAAAATTTTGGAATAAAATATAATAGATCTGTTGGTAATAATGATATAATATCATATAGAAATCTACGACTTTTTTTATAATGTCTTCGTAATTTTTCTAAATCACGAACAATAATACCTTGTTCAAGATAACCTAATCAAAAAAAAAAAGGATTAATCTATTTTATAGAAACAGAAAAAAAAACCTTTTCGTGTTTGTATAAATGTATCAATAATATAACAAAGATCACAAACATAATCACAAATAAGCCAAATAATTAAAAGACGTTCTTGAAGAAGTAAAAAAGCAGTACGACCAATAAGTATTATAAAATTATATAGAACTGCTAAAGAAACAATTGATGACCAATAATAATAGAATGATTGTGATGGATCAACAATCCAATTTTTACTAGAAATTATTTTCAAAAACAAAAAACAAGATTAAAATTACATTAAATAATTGATTAATAGACCTATGTTCATCTTCATTTATTTCATTTGTATTTGATAGAACACTTTGTTTAAGAAATGAATTTGTTCGTTGTATATCTACACGACGTCGATGATATTTTTGTATTATTTGACGACAATACTATTAATATATATTCAATATGATAATGATATACATAAATACACTTACATTTGGAAATTTGAATACAGCCTGAAAAATGTTACTTTTATTTTTTAATAAACAAAAATCAAATAATGAATATGAATAACTCTACCTGAACTATTCTAACGATACTATATAAAGATCTATATGTAATATGAACTGTTTGAAGTGTTACATCGGCCATAGGTTGAATATCATTTTCAATTGTATTCAATTGTTCTTGATTATGCTGTTCAGTAGAATATGAAATTGATACTCGTGAAGATTGATTATTCATGTTGATACATATATAAGTGCACTTTAATGATCTTATCAGTTTTATAAGTATACTATCTGAATCCAAAAAAAAAATGAATTCTTTTCATCTTAACCAACCTTACTTTTGCAACTAAAACTTGTGTGAAATTAGACTGTTAAGTATGCAGTCGACATATCTATAGCAACTGTCATTCTATATACTTATCAAAAAATTTTCTGCTTTGATACTTTTATTTGGACTTGATAATACTTCTTTAGTAAGTACTCATGCAAACATGCAAATGTTTCATTTTTTTTTCTTCTTCTGCTTAAATTCAGTCTAGTTAGCTTTAATAGGATAAGACAATACGTCAAAAGAACGTTTTTTATTTTTTATCTCTCATTATAATTGAGGTATTTGCTGCTATTGATATGATGAACATACCATAACAAAAAGAAATGGCATGGTTACATTTGATAATCGTCAAGAGAAATATTTTATTTTATCTCGGTGTTTTTTTAGGATAGTCTCTTCAATTTTTAGATAATTTGATATTTCAATAGAAAACAAAGAGAGACAGACAAGAAAAACTATAATTACTCATCTGAAAATGAGATGATTTTATTTAATAATTATTACGTAAAGAATCTTGACTGTGTCCTTGATAAAGTAGATGGCACTATCTGACAATATATTAATGGGGGCATTGAGAGATAAATTTTTATCATAAACAAAATCTGTTTTATATGTTCAAATACTTTGAAAAAAGTTCAGAATTTTTTCAATGATAATTTTAATTTTTGAATGGATATCCATATTTTTCCAATAATATTTTTTTATTAACCAGCTGATTCGTTTCGATGTTCTGTCATTAGTTTAAAAAGATATAATACCATTACTAAATGATATTTGAAAAACTTCATTTTTTCTAGATATGGTGAAGTTTAACTAAATTACATTAGAGAAATCCTTTTTTTTCCTTTAAGGAATAAACGAAAATGCTAGTAATATTTAATTATTAATGATACTTCGAAAAAATTTGATAGTTATAAATTTCTACACAAAAGATCGTCATTGACTATGACAATAAACGGATAGATCGAACTTCCATTGACAGAGAACATAATATTTTATCAAATTTAAGAGAATTAACTTTATGAAAGTAGACAATTATATGTAATTCAGACATTGCAAACATAATCAATGTGTGAATTATTTTTTATAAAGTTTTTTTTTTGTTTTGAAAATTCTATTTTCATCATTAAATAAAAGATCAAATGAAAATTTGATATTTTAATTATTCTTTAGATGGCTTGTTCTTTAAATACCGTATCAAAAATCGATGACTTATCACGAATTCGAGCCATTCTTTTACCTCATCTCCTTGATTCTATAGTTGATAATGATTATCAAACAACTGATACAGATGCAACAGAAGATGATGAAATACCAAGTGAGAGTTAATTCTTTTTGTGTTTTTTTTTCTCAAGCAAAAAAAAAAATTTTCATAGCTTCAGAAAGTGTTGCTCGAACAGCTGCATTACTTCCAACATATGAAAAGAAAAAGAAAAAAACATCTCGTGATCGTAATCAATTGTTACGTGATTGTCAATTAGCATTTTCACCAACACTTAATCTACTTGTATTTGCTTTCGATCAACAAATTGTTGTTTCAACAGGTTAATTAAATGTTTAATATTTATAAGATTTATTTTTTATTTGTTCCTATTTCAAAAAAAAAACTATTAGCCAGAAATAAAACTTCAAATCATGAACAATCAAATTTTACCGCATCATTTGATACAAAATTACAAGTTGAATCTAAGTATGTCTTTGGAAAAGAAAAATTTTTGTCGTAATAATTCATTTAATTTTTTAGTGAAAGAATTACTAGTGTACTTTGTTTACCAATTGCATCAACTATAAAAAGGTAGATTTAAAAATAATAATTACATTAAATAATGAAGAACAAAATAATAATTTGTTTTCGATTAGATCATTACCTGAATGGACATGTATTATTGTTGGTTTTACAACTGGTTATGTTCGAATGTATACTGAAGTAAAAGCTATACATTGAAATAAGAACTTATTTGATTTTTTTTGTTGTTGAAAGGATGGAATTTTATTATTTTCGCAAATATTTCATGATGAATCCGTTGTACAATTAAAATGTCATACACAATTTCCATCAGCTATTCGAAGTTTAACAGAACAGGTTTGTTTTTGAATATATTGTAGTTTGTATTAAACATCTTATGATTATATTTTTAGCCTGATGAACTTTATATTCGATATACTTCATCAATTCTTGTTGTTGTTGATGGTTTATCACTTTATCAATTATTAAAAGTTTGTCGAGAACATATATTAAAATCAAGTATGAAAAGAAGTCGTTCTTTTTTTTTACTTTGATAACATAGTATTATTTTTTATGAAACACAATCTAAAAAAAGAGTTATTGAGACTTATTGGATCTTTTTAAAGTTCCAGACATTTTTTTCTATGTTGTGTGTTATGAAAATAAGACGTCTTTGATAAGATTAATCTGAATGCGTCTGAATATAAATGAATTTGTCGTTGAATCAATTTTTTTCTAGCGAATTCGTTCTTAAAACATTATCACAATGGATTGTCATACAAACTCCTTAACATTAAAGAATTCCTCAGCGAATGCATTCTAAAAATAGTAGGATCAATAATCATTGCTCTCAATTTTTTAATCACTAACTAACAACACTGAATGACTCAATAGGTAAAGCAATGGCTTCTTAGTTCACACATCTAATATTCAAAATTCGTATTCGATGTACTTTTGTCTTTTTCTTATTCATTACTTTCAATTTGATTATTATGTTATAAAAGGATCCCTATTAAAGATCCATCGCCACAATACTGAATAACTACTATGACAAACGTTATTGATATGCAGTTCTAGATTGTATCTACATAACGTCTCTTTACAATATATGAACTACTTTCCCATTGTACTCCCCGGAGATTAAGTAAAAGGATGGTGAAGAACTGTGTCTTGAAATAGATAGAGTAAAATAATCTTCTTGTGATTTGCAACAATAGTTACCTTGTGTTTCACATTTTTATGATACAGAGATTGTATTAACAGTTTTTTTTAATAGGCCATATATTGTCGTCATCATCACCACAATTATCATTTAAAAAATGGAGTTTTCCTGATCAAAATCAAGTTTATGATTTTGCTCCTGCAGGTAAATGTTTTCTCTTGATTATTTATTATTTAATTAATTCTATTAATATATATATATCTAGGATTGATAACAGATAATCGTTTTGATCAATTTTGCGTTGCTTCCATGAGAGGTGGTTATCAAGCTCAAGTAGTTGAATTTCTTTTTTTTTTTCTTCTGAATTTGATGAATTAAGTTTTTAATTTTTCTTATTTAGATTCGTTCTGTACCACCTCTTTTCTCTCGTTTAATTACAATTGGTGCTGAACCTTATTTTAATTTTTATTATTGTGCTGAAGTAAATTGATTATCTGTTCTTGATTTTTTTTTTCTTGTTTATCTACAAATAATTTTCTTTGATAAAAGGGTGCGCAGATGCCACATTTTACTGAAGTAGCTTCGGCACTTGCTGATAAAGTTAAAAATTCAGTTGTATCTGCAGTTAGGTATGTTTTATTAGATCGTTTTTTTCTTTTCACATAAAAAAAAAATCTTTTTAAATATATTTTACAGTCGATTTTTTCCATTAAAACAAGCATCACCTAGTGCAGAAACTCGAAAAGTTAAAATTGAACCAGAAACAAAACTTGAAGGCAGGTAAGTAAATCAAGAATTTCGAATTATTTTCATATAGATAAATAAACAAAAAAAAACAAACAATTTAGATTTGGTATTCGTGATTTACGTCGACATGGAGAAAAAATTATTATTTCACCAGGACTTCATATAGCAGCAGTTTGTGATAGTTTTGGACGAATAATTATCTATGATGTTCATCGAAGTATTGCTATTCGTATGTTTAAAGGTTTGTATTAGAATAAAATCTTAAAAAAAAAATTTCAATAAAATATATTTAAAGGATATCGTGAAGCAGAAATCGGTTTTATACAAATTGAAGAATCAACAACTCGTGATACATCAATGAGTTTATTATCAAGAAAATCTGCTCTTTTTCTTGTTATTCATGCACCAAAACGTCAATTAGTTGAAGTTTGTTTCATTATTATTTTTGTAAAAAATTTATGAAAAAAAAAACTACTTTCATGGCATACTTTAGATTTGGGGTTGTCAACAAGGTGCACGTGTTGCTGCTTTTAATGTATCGAAAAATAGTCGTTTAATTTATCTTGAACATTATACACTCGGTTGGGCAAGTAGTGGATCAAATTCATCAAAATTATCACAATATAAACAATGTATACTTCTCGAAGAAAATGGAGAAATAAAAACATTTCAAATTCCATTTCATCTTATACTAAGGTAAATTCATATGCATGATAATGTTAATTTATATGTTTTATTTTTCGAAATTCTATTGCAATGGATTTCAATTTAATTAGTTTCGATAAGAGAACTTTTCTGAATACGAATATCTCTTGCGTGTTAGATGAAACTTATTATAATACAAAATTCTCTTTATTTTCGTTACAATAAATTCTTTCATCTATTTAAATTAGAATTTAGAATTTTAGTCATTTCTATATTAATCAGACACACATAAATTTTTCATAATCTAATATAATCAAGTTGATGTATTTGTTTATTCGATGTGAAATATATGAGATTTTCTTTCAAAACTAAAATATTTCAATAATTTTAATTATGAATTACTTATCACGAGAAGGAGATAGAGATGTGACCGATTTGGTTCTGTTCCAAAAAAGAAATCCAATCGATACTATCTCTGGTACGGACCAACTAACTCAAAGTTCAGATCAAATGCGTAGAATAACTGTTCGAACAGTTCAATTCTATCAGAAATCATTTTGAACAGTTCGTCACAGAGGAATTGCTAGTGAGTTGTTTAACCGCGGATCATTACTTACTCGGCAA